CAATTTCAGTCAATCTTCTGTCATTTGCTGCTAGCCAACCTGTACCCTTATTATCCCATCCCGGTTATTCAAACTTATACCACCATTCATAAGGTTCCAATCAATTTCCATAATATGAAACCCGCTTTGCTGCAGATAAAATATGATTCTGCTATGATGTTGGTATCATGTAACGTCACAGGTATTAAAAAAAGGAAGCAGTAAAAAAAAATGAATGTGTAGATGTGTTCAGAATGGCAATCACAGATGATTCTAATATGACTGAACTGTATATCATCAATAATTCAGTTCAAATAAAATTAATATCCAGAATGATGTTCCACTAAAATTAACACTCCGAATGAGATTCTTATGAAATGAATATCCAGAATAAAATAATAATAAAATTAATATCCAGAATAAAATGAATATTCAGAATGAAGTTTAAATAAAATCTAATAAATTTAGTATCCAGAGTGGAGTTCTATGGAAATTACTGTCCAGAATGAAATTCTATAGAAATTACTGTCCAGAATGAAATTTTATGGAAATTAATGTGCAAAATAAAAGAATAATAAAAACAATACCTAAAATGATATTCCAATAAAATTGATACCCAAGATGAAGTTCTAACAAAAATAATATTCAGAAGGAAATTTTAATAAAATACAAAAAATGAAGTTATAATGAAATTCATATTCAGAATGAAGTTCTAATAAAATTAGCATCTAAAATGAAGTTCTAATAAAATTCATCTCCAGAAAGAAGTATTCATAACATTAATATCTTAAACAAAGCAATAATTAATTTAAAAAATGAGGTTCTAATAAAACGAATATCCAGAATGAAATTAAAATAAAATTAATATGCAGAATAAAGTTAAAATAAAATGAATATTCTTAATAGAATTTTAATGAATTCGAATAAAATTAACATCCAGAATAATATAACAAAATTAATATCCATAACAAAATAATAATAAAATGCATATCTAAAATGATATTCTAATACAATTAATATCCAGAAAAAAAATATCAAGAAAATGAATATCGAGAAAGAAGGTCTAATAAAATTATTACCCGGAATGAAGTTTTATAAATTAAAACCCAGAATGCCTCATATGGTGATCAAATCTTGAAGCAGAGAACTTGAATTCATTGTAAATTATAATTACAGTATTTTTTTTACCATTTCTTCAAATCTTTGTTCTCAAAAAACTTGAAAGACTTAGGAAAACATCAAAAATACCAACAATAATCAATCATCATCAATTTTATATTGCATTCCTACAGTAATAAAATGAAGAGTAATGTATGTCACTCTCTCTCTCCCTCTTATTAGACTCATCCTCTGCTTCCCCAAAGGTACGGTTCAGCTGGTCAGCCATGAAATGGAGCCTGGACACAGCTGGTCACGTGGAGCAGAAACCAGAGGAAGTTATTTTTAATCAAGGAGACGCAGGATGCAGGTTGATACACCTGCAGCATTTCAATCACCGCTGGCTAATTGTCAGGCCCCCTCATGAGGAGGTCCTGGTCTGTGAGGAAAGTACTTGAAACTGTGCAGGGTAGTGACTCCTGGACTGGAGTGGAGCTGAGAAGAATCTACATTAACATAGAGTGTGCATACTAAGTACTTGTACTTCCACTCTTTGGCCAGTTCATAGGAAACACCCACCTTTTACTTCCACACGGCCCAGGACTGGAGGTGCTTGCTGGTGAGCAGTTTGAGGTGTTGTTTGTGCTGGCCAGACTGCGCATGCCCAGGGACATGGCTCAAGCTGATGGGTTGGCTGGATGGTCAACCTTTTGAAAGAGTTCGCAAAATTAAGACGTAAAGTTCCAAACCTCCTCTGCTGTTAAGATCAGCACAAAAACTGCGCCAGGAGCTTCATGGCATGGGTTTCCATGGTCAAGCAGCTGCATGCAAGCCTTACATCACCAAGCACAATGCCAAGCAAGTTGGATGGAGTGGTGTAAAGCACCGCCACTGAACTCTGGAGCAGCAGAAACATATTCTGTGGAGTGATGAATCACACTTCTCTATCTGTCAGTCTGATAGATGAGTCTGGGTTTGGTGAATGCCAGGAGAACGTTACCTGCCTGACTGCATTGTGCCAACTGTAAAGTTTGGTGGAGGAGGGATAATGATATGAGGTTGTTTTTCAGGGGTTGCCCTAGACCCCTCAGTTCCAGTGAAGGGAAATCTTAATGCTTCAGCAGACCATGACAGTTTGGACAACTGTACGCTTCCAACTTTGTGGGAACAGTTTGGGGAAGAACTTTTTCTGTTCCAGCATGACTGAGCCCCAGTGCACAAAGCAAGGTCCATAAAGGCATGGCTGGGTGAGTTTGGTGTGGAAGAACTTGACTGGCCCTGACACAGAGCCCTGACCTCAACCCCATCAAACACCTTTGGGATGAATTAGAACAGAGATTGCGAGCCAGACCCTCTCGTCCAACATCAGTGTCTGACCTCACAAATGCTCTTCTGGATGAATGGGCAGAAATTCCCACAGACACACTCCAAAATCTTGTAGAAAGCTTCCTCGAAGAGTGGAAGCTGTTATAGCTGCAACAGGAAGACCAACTACTTATAAATGCCTATGGATTTAGAGTGGGATGTCATGAAAGCTTCTGTAGGTATAATGTGGAGGTTTCCCAATACTTTTGTCCATATAGTGTATTTTAAGGTGGATTGATTTTATACATCTGAATGTCTTACGTATGCATGGCAATATATGCATGTGTACTTGTGACAGAGAGGGGGTATGCAGTAAGAAGTCTGAGGGGGTACGGGACTGTAAAAAGTTTGGGAACCACTAGATTAGAGGATGCCCAACATATGCCGTGCATTAAAAGATGAGCTGCAGACTATGCAAGGTGGGGAATCAAGGCAGGGATTGATGAGGGTAAAACCTCCTGAAGAATCAATAATTAATGATGAAAAAGGCTGAGACGTGCTAATTAAAATGCTAATGAAGCAAAGAGATCCAGTCACAGCGCAGATCACATCGTAATCAAGGTGTTACTGCAATATTAACACTTACTTCTGTCCTATAGCCTAACTAACAGATCTCATATACATCTACATGACCGGCCGGCTTCTCTTGAAATTGGGCCTCGCTAATAACGCTCTCCATTTAGATGAGCGTCTATCCCTCAGCTATTGAAGCCAGCACGGGTGGTTGTCTCATCCTTCAACAGCCACCAGTTGCCACTTTGATAATTACTCATGGCAGCACTGATGTTGTCATTATGATAATCAGGCGCGTTTGGATGCGTCCTGTTCCCTGGCGCTCGGCGTGTCGAGTGTTATTTTGGCACTGCAGTTCATTTCCTGCCATCGAGGTGCTTCACTGTAATTATTCCACGCACTGCCTCCCCATCACTATCATTATTGCTTTTGGAGGGAATGATATGTGAAGATAGAGAGGACGGACACAGAGCACTCGAAAAAAAAAAAAGCATCGTGTTTGAGTTTAAAATTAACGCTGACCTGAAAGTGGTGCCTTTTTTCCGTGGTGCAAATGCGATCTCATGGCTTAATGCTGCTCTGAATTCCGTGTCACGCACAGGGGGAATAAATTTAATGCCGTCCATTATAGTGCAACCTTTATGCTCCCAATTCTCATTCTGAAACCTGCCAGACAGCTTTCAGTCCTTGTTCATTTACTTTTTGGGATTTTAAAATCCAATGAACTCATTTTTATGGCAGAGGCCACAAGGGCTTGCTTGTGGAGCCAGGGCAGGATGCTCTTAGACTATAAAAGCAATACGCCAGTGCACTGGCAGTTCCCCAAGCTGCCCACCATGCAACTTCTTAAACCGTGAAATGAGCGGGGCTGGTGATTATATGGGTCCATCCACCATGAAATGGTGGTCCTACAGCTTCGTCCCCAATACAACGAGGTGTGAGGTTGATAGAGGTTTAATCGGGCCTGAAATTCTAGGCCGAACCTCAATTGAGCCTGAGAACTTTTTTCCGACCCAGCCCGAACCACTAAGCCAAGTTTTGAGTCCTAACCCGACCCAAGCCATGTCATCCAGTTTTGAGTCCAGTTTTGGCCCAACAAATTCAATATTAACATCCTTTTGGCTGCACTGAACTGTACTCCCCTACGGAGCCTTCCTGGTGATATATAAATAAATATAATGCGTGGCCATGACTTAGTAAGACGTGGAAATGAGATTCTAATGTGTGGCCACCACTAAGCAAGGCATGATCTCGTTCCCACACCTTACTAAGTCGTGGCCACAACTTAATTACCTCATTTCCACACGGCCACAAGTTATTTGAATTTGTATGGGATGTCACCGCCAGGGCTTCGTACTCTCCGCCAGGGCTTCGTACTCTCCTGAATTTATTTGCCATTTTATTTCCCACACATCTATTTTCTCAGATTTCTCTTGCATAAGGATGGAAAAAGTCTAAAGAAAATAACGATTTCAAAAAAGGAGGCTCCTAACAACCACCTGGAAGACCTGGTAGACACCAAAACTGCCATCAGATAAACAGCACTTAAAGCTTTCATCTTTGAGAGAGAGGAGAAAATCAAGCGGCTTCAGATCTGAAAACATCCACAGGTGTTTCTGTCCATCCTTCCACTGTGAGAAGACATCAAACAAAGAAGCTGGACAAGGGACTGACCACCCCAGAGTCCAGACCACAACAATCACTGAATTTGTTTGGGATTACTCAGATGGTGAGAAGCAACTTCAACCAACTTCTAAGACTGAACTTCAGAGGTGTGGAAAAATATCCCTGCAGATTTCTTTGAAAAAACGACAGCGAGTCTCCTGAAAATAATGGATGCTGTAATAAAGGGAAACAGTGGACAAACTAGTTAACATTTCTGTGTAATTTTGTTTTTTTTTTCTTGCCAACATCGAAAATTTAATAACTTGTGGAAAATATATGGGTGGTCTTGATAAGCAATAAGACCCCTTGATGACAAACGCACATCTCACGCTTAGCCTCATGGGAAATGAACACAAACAAGAACAGCTTGATTGCAGTCTTTTTTTTTTATTCGCAAGAACTGGAGTTTTTCAAAAAGGCCAGAGCAACTTGAGAGGTCTAGAAGACCACTGTTTGGAGCAACAAAGTAGTTAAGGTAGGGTTTTTAAAATTACTATCAACTACAGCGGTTAAAAGCACCATTGAAATGTGGATTACGATCCCTTTAGGCCTGTTGGTTTCATTTTTTACCAAAGAAAAAACAAACAAAAAACAAAAACAGTTACTTTACATTATAGCATATTAGTTGATAACACACCATTGACAAGGACCGTTTGCTCTACTGTACAGATTACACTTAAAGTACTCGTGAATGCAAGATCAATCAGAATTCAGTAAAATTACTTCTACATAAAACTGGCATAACCATAACAAACATGTTATGCCAGATGTGAGATGCTGTTATGAGTCAGCAGCACAGCTTATGTTTAGTAATATAATAGTATTGTGTTTCCATTACTAGTGACGGCTAACAACAGTATGCCTGGCATAAATTAGTGTATTATAAGCTGTTATAACATCAAATATAATAACAATTACTGGTAATAGTAAAACAGCACTGTTATATACCCAAACAAAAACTGACATGGCAAATTATGACAGCATATGACATCTGCCATTACATGTTTATGCCGTGGTTTCTGTCAGTGTTATGTACAGTGTTACCTGGAATTTCTTATTTCCAATAAAACTACTCAAAAATCACCTGCAAATAGGCAAGGTCATTCCAAAAATAGCCTGAGGTATTGCGGACAAAAGCTTCTATCGTTGAATAAGGCAACAATTTATTCATCAGTTTATACTTGCTAGATTGTAAACAGGAACAGCAGCATCAAATTAAGTGTCAGCAGGTTGATTATTTTTAACCCCCTTTAAAAAAAACAAAACAAAACAAAACAAAAAAAAACCCTTAAGTGTTTCTCTAACACTTTCTAGAAAATTTGAATGATGCCAGAAGTGCAATACAGCTAAATTACTAAATACTAGACAAGGCAATGTACATCTACTAGGGATGCACTGCTAGGGAAATATCGGTACAGCACGACATACCTGTCCATAAAAGGGCTCATTTATTACGTTTTGGCATAAACATAAAGATTTATTTATCAAATTAAAGCAATTTTATGGGAACTAGGAAAAAAATAAGTAGTGTAAATTACTCCAGCTATATTTATAGATTGTGATCAGATCATGTAGGAATACTAAAATTAGGGATGCACCAATGTTTTGGGTCAAAAGAGAACAGAAAGCTGAAAATTAGATTAAACATTAAAAAGGCCTATAATGAAGTCTAAGACTTAATTTAAATGGTAATGAAAATAAGGAACAGTGATTAAAAGCACACCAGTGAGTGCAGATGCATTCAAACAGTTTGAGCAGCAGTAGATCAACAGTGGAAATATTAGCTACGTCTAACTATTTTACAGTTTCTAGAAAGACATTAGACCGCTCAGGTTTGACATCTCTCAATACATGAGGTCCTGCTTGATCTGCAGAATACAGCAAAAAGCATAACGGTAGGTCCTTGCTAGCACAACGGCGCCATCTGTAGCCTGAGTTTTTTGAAATGATTAAAATGGAATTGCACTGGATGACCAACTGTTCTTTGCTGCCGAAAACGCTGGAGGTCTATTTTATGTAAACTGTTTTATTTGTCAGCTTTTTCAGTTTTCAGTTTCACTTTTCAACCCAACGTGTCCTAAATTTCAGGTTTTGATTTCAGTCAAGAATTTTCATTTTGGTGCATCACCAGAACAAATCCTAGCTTTTGTATGCAACTATGTGCTGGTTCCGATATTTCTGTGCATCCTTAATATCTACACATATCTATATACACCTATATTTATCTAAAAAACATGACATCCAAACACAACAAACAGACAAAATGAGGATTGTAAATTTCCCTGAAGATTTTGCTATAAATTCACTATTAAAATGGTAGAGGAGGAGAAATTAAAAAAAGAAATAACAAAAAGATTGGTTGCCAATCATTAATGTAATCCCATCCAATCAAGTAATTCATAATTAAACAGATAGACATGAATAGTACAATAAGCCAAATCCAACAAATCCCAATGAAATCCCTTTTTTTGTTTGTAAAAACGGGGAATAGCATGTAAAGTGGACGTTAAGATTACGTAACCAAAAAAAATTTGATTGGTTGTCAATCATCTGCCAATCAAGTAATTCACAATTAAAAAACCCAAACTTAATAAAATCCCAATGACATCCCTTTTGTCACATTTAAATAAAACAAAAGTAGAGTACCTTAGATGGAGCTTAAAAATATGTAAATGTGTGTTCGGCATGTTAAACAGCAAAACAGTTCAAAAATGGGAAGTGTCTGATTGGTGAAGCTCAGCAAAAGCTCATGATCCCAACTTGTAGTGCAAGATGAAAGTGCAATTACTGGAAGATCGCTCCTTTAGGAAACTAAAAACAATAAATAAAAACAATAAAAACAGATGCAGTGAAGCAGATGCACTTCAGTTCCCTTGCTGACCTCTACAGTCGATTGTCCACTACGTCCATTCCCATGTCGGGGTCTTGGCCCGGCTGTTCAAACTGAGTGAGGGACAGTTCGGACTGGGCCTGCTCCAGGTCTAAAGGCTCAGAGTCCTGAATGTCCTGTTCTGATTCCGTTACAGGAATGGGCAGGTACCCGCCTTCTCGAGGCAAACACATGCACCAGCCGGCGCCGGCCAGGTCCAACTCGCTGTATTTGAAGCCGGCCTTCTTCAGGATCTTGAAATCCACCATGTCGCTCGATTCGCTCATCTCCACCAGGAGGTTCCAGAAGATGCAGCTCAGCATGATGCCCAGCAGCTGGAGGACAAGGGCGACAATATAAGAAAGGGACAATGCTTGAGGTTCCACCCAAACGTAGTCAATCAACCACAACATAGCTGTACATCAGTTTCACACCCAAACCTTGCATAATCTCCATAGAAAAGCATTGAGTAATAGAATGGGATACATTGGCGCAGCTGAACATGAGCCTAAGTTCACCATGCCCAGTGCCAAGCGCCGGCTAAAGGGGTATAAAGCCCCCCCCAGCATTGGGTTGTGGATCAGTAGAACTCTCTGAAGCGATGGAGCTCAATGCAATACAATTAGGATAAGCTGGAGACCTGACATCACTAACGCTGTTGGGCTAAATACAATCAAATTCTCACAGAAACGTTCCAACTTCTAGTTCCCAGAAGGGTAGAAGCTGCTACTGCAGCAAAAGGGAGTTGAGGCAGAACAGAGAATGAGATATGCCGTTAGCTATTTCAGATTAGGCCCATTAATTAATATGTAAGCATGAGCTGTAATTGACTGTAATTGGTAGTGGATAAAAGATCACTGTGAAGCCCCTGAGGAGCAGCCAGACAATGGATCCAGACTGACAGAGAGATACATTTACTCATTTCATTAGTCGACTACACGCTCTAAAAAGAATTTTATTAATAGCTTGCTATGAACAACTAGCAGAAGTGTTTCTCTGTAATTTCAAGGCCGTTACACCCCAAGCATGACTTATTCAGACAATACATTAATTTATACAAACACAAATACTAATGACATCTTGCATATGAAATGTGATTTTACATTTGATGAAAATGCAACATTATTTCATGCACCTTCTGTCTGCAGACTTTTCAAGGTAACATGAACTCACTGAAGTTTACATGAACTATTAAAACCTTGAATATTGGTCAATACAGATACCAATATTTCTGATATTGGTAACCCCAAAACCCAAAACTAACCCTCACTCTGGTCCTAAACCTAAACCTGCTGCTAATCCCAATCCTAACCCTAACAATGTTGAGTTTCAACGGATAGTTTGCTAATGTGAACATCTATAAAAATCTACTGGGGCCCATTCAAATAAACCATTTCACCTACTACTAAGCTTTAAAACCCCTAAGACAACTAAAAACTACTTCAGCTTAGTTCGGTATCTAACATCCTTAAGTCTCATACGTCATATGTCCTCCCTATCATGGCTATCCACACTTCCCCACTGTCCACTTCTCTACATTGTATTACTACACTAAAGAAGAACAGTGGTACATTTTATATTCCCATAATATATTTCTAAAAATCAGAGAAAGTCTGATAGCTGTCCACAGCGCTCACTAGTCAATACAGACAATACAACTCCAGAATTGGCACCCTTCATCAGAATAAAATCTAAATATTACATGCAATGAATGATATTTTAGACTTAAACAAATGGAATTTGTTTGAGCACATTCAAAACTAGCAGCACTGAGTCACTTTCTGGAATGTTTAACAAGGTTGGAGAACACTTATTGAGGGATCCTGGACCACTCTTCCATACAGAACATTTCTAGTTCCTTGATATTCTTGGGTCTTCGCTTGTGGACTGTCCTCTTCAATACACACCCCAGGTTTTCAACTGGGGTCAAGTCTGGAGATTGAGAGGTCCACTGCAAAACTAGTTTTGTGTTCCTGCAAATTTTGTGTGGATTTTGATGCATGTTTAGGGTCATTATCCAACCAATGCCAAGTTTCACCTTCTGGCAGAAAGGAGACACTTTGTGATCTAAAATCTCTTGATATTTAGCAGAATTCATGATGCAACTGATTTTCACATGAGCCTCTGGACCACTAGTAGCAAAACAGCCCCAAAGCATCAATGATCCACCACCATATTTGACAGTGGTCATCAGGTGCTCGTCATTTTACGCATTCTTCTTGTTTTTGGCCAACATGACGATGGTGTGCATAAACTTCTATTTTTGTTATTGGACATCACATCACATGATTCCATTTGTAGTTCCAGTGACATTTTGCAAAGTTCAGTCACTGAATTATGAGGCTTGCATTTTGTGGAACACCTCCAAAAAGCCTCTGGGCATGGAGGTGGTGTCTGACCGTGGATTCTGACATGTGAAAACCCTAAGATTCAACTAGCCTGTGCAATTCTGAAACTGTGGGGTTCTCTAGGTTCCTCTTTTCCTCCTCACTGTATGTGGTAGCAGTATGCCCATGCATGTTCTTCTTCAAATTTCAAATGTTCTACACTTTTCAAACTATTTTTATTGTCGCCCAGATTGCGCTTGATGGTGATTTCAACTGACCATTCCTAATCTTTCCGGGTCCACAACATTCTTTCCCGAGTTGACAGCACTTTGGTCTTTGATCATAGAAATCAATGAGTTTCTGGAAACTGGGAGAAACAAAAAGAAACATTTTTTCCGCTAAAGATGCAACTTATTTGGTTTTATGTAAAATTCTTTAGGGGTGCCAATATGGTTTTGAAAGAGAACACTATTCTTAAAATAAAATAACACTCTTGTAGGAAAAATCTCTATTAGACAAATGTTTAGCAATGTCTCCAAAGATTTATGAGGAACATTTGAATCATTATATGTATTGTTTATTTTGGATGAATGTCTGTGCCCAAGTTTCCTGAGGGATGCCAATAACTGAAGTTATGGACTGTATTAGTCAATTAGTCTCTGCTACCCTTAGACAAGGAAAGACAGAACGAAAGATAGATAAACAGACAGACTCCTGCATTTCTTCCCATTTCAAGGTCCACCTCAGGGTCTCTGCATCTGGAAGGTTACAGATGCTCAATTTCTTGAGTTCATTTTTTAGGTAGAGCAGGTACTAATGAAGGGCAGCCTAATCAAAATGAAAAGTCGTGCGTGGAGGCAGGCGGTGGAAAAAATTAGCTCTGAGAGAGTGGCATCTCTGAAAGGTCAGCTCAAATACATTTCCTGGAAGAGCTTTTTAGTGCAGCAGCAGCCTGGGCAATATTGGCCAGAGATAATACACCAGCAAACTGTCCTCATCCCTCCTGTTTCAAAGAAAAAAAGAGTGACCATTTCAAATAAACGTCATGCATCTTCCCAATGTGAAATGAAAGCAAGTCTATTTAAGATTACTTACCCACTCTTTACACTAGAGGTTGGAACACTGCTATTAGGATTTGATGAGTGCAATCGTGAGATAAGACACTGACGCTGGATGATTAGTTTTGGACCACAAACCATCCCAAAGGTAATGTTTGAAGCTCATCATTCCAGAGAGCCACTTTACTACAAATAAAAGGTTGCTGTACAATTTCTAAAAAAAACTCAATGCTTTGAAAAGCATCAATAAAGGAAAAATTTCCACAGCACATATGTGGATGCCAACAAATATATTGTATATTGTATGTATTTTACCTGTCTACCACCGCATATTGGAGCTGGAATTAAACAACACGAGCTCAAAGTGGGGACTCGCCGCTTCAATTTGAACGTGCTTATGTCCAAATTGAGCAGGCAGTGCAGGAATTACAACCATCTTTATAGGTCTCCATATTTTAGGGGCTTAAATGTACTTGGTCAAACTAACAAACATAAATTTAATTGTCATTTTTAATACTTGGTTGCAGACCGTTTGCTGTCAAAGGAACCCAAAGAAATCTCCAGACACTGGGTTTCTTCCCTAGTGATGGTCTGCCAGGTCTTTACTGCAGCTGTCTTCAGTTTCTGCTTATTCCTGGGGTGTCTTACCTTTAGTTTTGCCTTTAGTAACTGAAATGAATGCTTTAGTGCATTGAGGTCAGGCGATTGACCTGGCCATTAAAGAACATTCCATTTCTTCGCTTTAAAAAAGTTTGTTTTCGGGTCATTGTCCATCTGCACTGTGAGGTGCTGTCCAATGATGAGTCTGGGCCGATAATATAGCTGTATACACTTCAGCATTCGTCCTGCTGCTTTGGTCGGCAGTTACACCATCAGTAAACACAAGGGAGCCAGTTCCATTGGCAGCCAGACATACCCACACCATAACACTACCTCCACCATACTTCACCGATGAGGTGGTATGTTGTGGACCATTATCAGTTTCTTCCCTCTTTTGTATTCTTCTCTTCATTCAGGTAGAAGTTGGTTTGTCATCAGTTTATAAGATGTCCCAAAACACTGCAGGCTTTTTAGATGTTTTGGACACACTCTAAACTGGTTTCTCCTCTTTTGAGGCTTACCAACTGTTTACATCTTGTGGTAAACCCTCTGTATGATAGACAGATAGACATGCATCCTGAAGGGTGTTCTTGATCTTGCCAACTGCTGTGAAGAGGTTTTTCTTCACCAAAGAAAGAATTTTTCTGTTTCCACTTTTCCACTTTTTTCTGTTTAAGGATGTGCCAGATAGTGGATTTGGCCAAACCTAATGTGTTCGCTATCTCTCTGCTGAGCTTGTTTTCATTTTTCAGCCTAATGATGGCTTGCTCAACTGGCAGTGACAGCTCTTTGGACTTCAGATTGACAGTTAACAATAACAATAAATGCAAACACCACACTTGAAATCAACTCTTACCTGCTTACTTATTAGTAAAAACACAGTCACAGAACAGCTGAGCAGCTCACCAATTGTCCAAATTACCCTAAAAATTGAGGGGGTATGTATGAAAACGGTCCAGTTTGGATGTAAACAGCCTCAAATTAGAGCCGAAAGTCTACATTTTGAGCTCATACTCATTTCTTAACTTCAACTCCAATGAGCTGTAGTAGAAATCCAAAGTAACACTAACTTTGTTAACGTCCAAATTGTTATGGACCTGACTGTATGTGCATGGTATAAGACTTTTCAGTGTGTTTCTGTGTCCTCTAGTTTCTGACCACGGGACCAGAACCCACTGTCAGCTGGATATAGGTCGGAAAGAGTTTAATATACATGAGTCTTTTCAACACATTCTTACGGCGATGAGAATTTAATACCAAACAGTTAAAAAAAAAAAAACGAAGAAAAAAAAGATTTTTAGATACATATTACAACTTTCATTACTTTACTGTCATATCAATGTTTAATTTTCTGTTTTAAAAGCATAAAATTGCAAATTTATGGATTATTCAATATATGAAGTGAGGGAATTGTCTCTAAATCTAAGAACAGGTCCCAGTGCCTAACCGAATATTAAAAGAGTAAAAGTGTTTGGCTATAGCCTGAATGTGTTTTTCCTCTTTTTTATTTCTGAACTTTTACAGTATGGTGCAGTCATAGGTTCAGTCTATCAGACAAGTCAGAAAAGAGGCCATGATGAAATGGAAGGAAGGACGAAAGGAAACGCAGAGATGAAAAGAATGAAGAAATGTAAAAGAGAGAGATAAGGCATGACGAACCTGAGGTAGACCCACAGCACAGCAGATTCCTATCGTGGCTCCGATGTTATCACCCATCCACAGATTTACAGCATGGATGCAGCCTCGCACGTGTATGATGTCATTCAAATCTTCACGCTACAAAAAGAAAGGAAGTGTGAAAAGGGCCCGTATTGTAGATTCCTCTAGTATTTACTTTCTATTCCTACTTGGAACAGTTACAATAAGTTGTACAAGACCATTTTCTTGTCATTTCTTGTCCTGTTTTCGTTACCATTATAACTAACTGATACAAGTAAATGACCTCTGTTCTGATTGGCTGCCCTATATGGTGCCTCAAAGCGGAACAAGCCGTTAAGTTTCAAATGAACCCCATCTTCCACGTCAGTAACTCTACTATAGACTTTCTACAATAACAACACTCCCTATCACTTCCACGGAAATGGGCGGAGCTAAACAAGTGTGGGCCGAATAGGCAGTACGGGGACAAGGCTGAGAGACCGCGACGTTGATCAAATCAGGCGGCTCCTCAGCCAGGCCACATCAGTCTGGTGCCCATGTTAGGCTGAGGCTATTACTTTTGTGTCTGCTGCCAAAACAAGGTTAGAAACGTGTTGCATGGTTGCAAGCTTTATTTTCTATACATGGACTGCATGGACTGGGAAGTGAACGGTACGTTTTGAAACATCAGCGTTCTCATGCAACATCAACCCTTTTTAAGGACACAATGACCTTAGACAGGCCGCAGGTAGAGTAGTGATTCAGCAAAGGACATAGCAATCACAATGTCCCAGAAAAAAACCCTCCATAATGGCAAAATTGAGGCTGCGGGGGTAATAACTCAGCAATTTCTCTTGGCTTTTCTGTGCTGAATAAATAATCACGTAAATCTAGCTTTGCAAACAGCAGTGGCTGAAAAGACGTAGCTCCCATTTCTGTCCTGCTAGATCATTTCACAAAACAGACCCCCAAACAATCACACTCCAATTGCACCACTCAAAAAAACAGACAATGAGGGACAGGTGGTAAAAGGATTAATCATCTTTTTCACCATTACAAATAAGTCAGAAGAAGCCAATGAGCCACGCTTGAATAAAAACAGCAGTTTTACTGCTAGTATTGCACTGCGGCATTATTGTCTCTTGATGGCAACACTGAGAAAGCTAATATTCCTGTTCTTCGGAAAGTCATATCTATAAATGAATGCAGGATTAAGGGTGGCAAGAGAGCTACTAACCTGCTTGGTAAGAGTGTTGTAGCCGCAGAGCGTGTTCACCACTTCTCCAGCCTGAATGAAAGACCACAGCAAATGTAAACACAAAAAGACACAAAAAAACATTAGCTTCCAGACTAAAGCCTTGTTTAAACAATCATAAAAAAATTAGTCTACGAAGTTGGTTTCATTTTCTGTTTCTTATGATTCAAACACGGTCAGTGATGTTGAGGTCTGGACACCAGCAGCTTTTCAATTTGATTTTCTGTCCATAGTAATGTCTTCTTGGAAGCTACACACCCTTTCAGACCCACAGTGTTAACTTGTCTTCTCACAGTGGAAGGATGGACAGAAACACCTGTGGATGTTTTCAGATCTAAAGTAAGAGTAGAGCTTGATTTTCTCCTCTCTCTCTCTCTCTCTCTCTTAATGATGACCACTGGTCAGGCTGTGAACATGAAGGTAAGGTATGAGAATGAAGACTAAAGAACAAACAATAATCACAGTAAATAGTTTTTAAGGGAGGGTGGCAAGAAAGAAGCCATTACCCAACAAAACCTACAACTGCTTTGCATCAAGAAACGGTGCTCCTACAGTGAATCATGGTGGTGGTAGCATTTCCCCAATGATGCTCATCCACAGAGCCCTTTAATAAAATAAAGCTCAAAAATCACATCTTCAAGAATGTATAAGCTCTTAAGAAAAGCCCTGTCATTTGACTTGGTGTGTGCACGTAGCATAAGCCCCACCCCCTCCACATCTATTTATCCTGATAGGATGAAGCAGATGCCTAGTTCTAATCACTGACGGAAAATGGTAAATGATGGACCCTTGGAGGAGACAGTTTCACACAAGTTTTACAGTTGGACACACAGTTTTACAATTTTAACTTTTAACTTGGGGTACAATCCTCAGCCTCATCTTATCACCTCACTGAAGGCACACTTTAGAGAGCAGACCCCTTTGATAAAACCATGCTTGAGAGCTTTTCCTGCCCCATTATGTGCTTATCTTATTCCAGTCTGACCTCGTCCAAAATCCACTCCTGAGAGACCGGATACCTCTGAAGAGATAAGGACACAAACAAGATGATGAAACTAATACTGCTGTGCTTTATTACAACCTAATCCGCACCATGACTGGATCTATTTGATTCTCTATTTCTTCAATTTTGTCTTTAATTAGCGACTGAAAACATCTGTCGATGTACAGTCTGTGTTAGCCATCCTAGAGTCCTTCATTTATGGTCAGTTTCTGACACTTAGAGTCGCTTGTACTGCCTATGCTTTGATTGTACTCCGGACGATAAATGACCACAGACTAATTGTATACTTGCATAAAGGAATTGCAAGGGGTTTCTAATAAAGTGGCCAGTAAGTGGAAGTACAAGTTATGTGTTTCTAATAAAGTGGCCAGTGAGTGGAAGTACAAGTTATGTGTTTCTAATAAAGTGGCCAGTGAGTGGAAGTACAAGTTATGTGTTTCTAATAAAGTGGCCAGTGAGTGCATGCTATACCACATATGAGATTTGTCAAATGCACACACAAGGTACAGCATTCTGGTAGCCATATTAACATTTACTACAAACATCATCTGTGCAGGACAGACAATCTGTTTTTATATATAGAATTAACTGCATACATAAGTCATATAGAATTCTCAGGCCACATCACCCTACCACTAAAAGCCTCTATTAGCAGAACGCACCGCAGACATGGCCTTCAGTGAAACTGAGTTTAAGGGAAACGAGGAAGGCGGAAAGGGTAACACAGAAAGAAAAAGAGAGAGAGGGAGAGAGAGAGAAAGAGAGAAAGAGACAGGCACAGACAGTGTTCCGCAAGCTTTCACTGATGAAGCGTGTCATTCATTTGCCTTACATTTTTTCTTCTCTGAGTCTTTCATTCAGAGTCCTGCTGCTCTACCACTCAGCATCAACCTCCAATTAACATCACTCAGCTTCATTACAGAGAGGATAGAGAGAGAATAAGAGAGAGAATAAGAGAGAGAATAAGAGAGAGCGAGAGAGAGAGCAAGAGAAAGAGAGAGAGAGAGAGAGCAAGAGAGAGAGAGCAAGAGAAAGAGAGAGAGAGAGAGAGAGAGAGAGAGAGCGAGAGAGAGAGATGCTTGTAGAGGTTCTCTATAGAGGAAAGTGCAGCTAATTCAATAATTGAAAGCTTTATTTCACTCAATTTATACGAGCAGAGTGTAAAAATGAACTTGAACTTGGTCTTTATCGGCTTTCTCTGCCAGTGTTCTACAGTAGCGCTATGCTGCGTGGCGCTATATATATATATATATATATATATAATATACAGTAAATAAGAATCTCAAATCTACCATACATACACAGTCAACGAGTGTACACATCATATATATCATATTCACAGTCAATGATTGTATGTATCATATATATAGTCAATAAGTATATCCCATATACATCATATATACAGTCAGTGAGTGTCTATATCATATGCATCACTTATAAAGTCAATGAGTGTATATATAATATCATATATACAGTCACTGATTTAACACCTCCATGACTGTAGCATCTCGTTCTTATTCATACAGCTTTTGGATTCTTCTTACAGTGGAGGCTCTTGAGGGGAACTGGAGCTCCACTTTGCTGTTGCTTTTGTTAGTTTGCTGCTCATTGATCTATCTAAAGTTCTCTTGTGAGCACTGTCCAGCACTGTCAGCTGACTGTGACGTCTTTAAAAGCCATTTAAAAATATAGCAACATACAGCATGCTACTGCCTGCACTACTACTGCCTTTAAGACTGAGATGTGAATTAGCCCTGTTTTGACTGGATGTCCTGTACCTGATTCAAAAAACATTCCTGGAACACTCAGCCAACAGGCGAGTAGATAAACATGTATATGTAAATAGCGAATATGTGCTGGGTTTTGTGACAATAAGTGTTGTTTTTGGAGCTTTTTTGGCAAAGCGCACTCTGTTTAAGGTCTCTGGACATGTGAGGTGTGAGCGGAAGTGTCGCTGACTCACCTCTTTGTTGCGGATACAGCAGGTGTACGGAACTCCGCAGGCCAGTGGCCCTGTACCGTTACAGAAGTGATACTGATTTACCGCCCAGTCTTTATAATCATCACCCCCACAGCAAGAGAACTGCGAGGCAGAGAGAGAGAGAGAGAGAGAGAGAGAGAGAGAGAGAGAGAGAGAGAGAGGTTCTGGTTTTTGTACAGGCTCAGTTAGATGACAGTGTCGGTTTCTAGGTTTCTGTCAACACTGCTGTCCCCTCTATGATTTCTCAAAACACTGCTAATAGTAAACAGCCTGTGGTGTTCAGCTGAACTGCAACGTACTATTCCTAATTCCCTCCTTAAAAACATTCTACATGCAATAGCTTAGCAAAAAATAAACTAGTCCATCTCTATGGACAAACATTGGCAGCACAATGGGTCATACTGATGAGCTCAATGACTTTAACCGTGGCACGGTCATAGCCACATTATTGCCACATATCAGTTCAGCCTTGCTAGATCTGCCCTAGTCAACTGTAAGTGCTATTATTGCGAAAAGGAAGCGCCTAGCCCAGTGAACACCTTTGGGGTGAACTGGAATGTTGACTGCAAGACAGACTTTTCCTACATCCGTGCCTGACCTCAGAAATGCTCTTTTGATTAAACAGGCACGAAATTCCTACAGACACACTCCACAAATCTTGCGAAAAGACCTCTCAGAAGAATGGAGGCTCTTATAGCCATAAAGATGGGGCAACTCCATATTAATGCCCATGGTTTTGGAACAGGATGTGCAGGAAGTTTGGCCACCATCCAAAACAGTGTCAGCCTGCTAACAAGAAAGGCCTAGCTCTTTATGAGCGAGGATGAGTTGTCTCCAGTCATCTTGCCACTTGCTTGTCCCTCATATAAACCCACCCTGCACTTTGTGGCAGAGAGACAGGAAAGGGTAAGTGCCACTGAGAAAGATGTGAAGCTCTCTGGGGGATTCCCAGAGTCAATTAAGGAACGTGTGTCGGAAGCTGACGGCAGAGAATTAGATGCTTTCTGCTTCAGGCTGATACGAAGACCCTGACAAGAGGTAAGCAGAGTTTGCAGAGTTTGAAGGATGTTTTAAAAGTAATACTCTGATGTTTTTCAGCCTAATCTCTATCTGAGCATGGTATATAGGCCTAGTATTATACTACATAGTGGATGTGTCTCAAAACCTAGTGAGCTCTCTACATAGACAGCATTTTACGTCACAATACGCGCGCTCCCGACAAGAAGGCTGTCCCAATTCTTAGATATCTCAAATATGCTGCCTACTGAGGCCTCTCATTTTGGCCCAATATCGAGAGAGCACTGGATGTTACCTCAGCCGCTGAGGCAATCCCGTGATGCAGCGCGGGACAAACTTTTGTTTGAAGATAGCCAGCAGAAGCACTTCACCAAGCAGCGCCGTCATCTTCAAATGTAAGTTATTCTGATTTTCTGGGGTATTTATCTGTCATAAAGGTGCACAAATATCCTATACTTTCCACGTTTGACCACAACTATTGTCTATTTTGCTGTTTCATTCAGAGCATATACAATTAAAATCACTATATTAACCACCAGAGCAGATCCATGTCGGCTAACTGTGATTCTGACGGCTGAGGTAAGTAAACGCTGGTTTCGTGCAGTGGGCGGGAACAAGCAGCGACGTCACTGCTGTCTAACTAGAGCGTCTCATTTATCTATCTTATAAGGATAGATGACGGTTGGAACGCTGCCTACTTAGACAGCTGCCTATGCAGACAGCGGCTACTTAGAGAGCTCACTAGGTTTTGAGACACACCCATTATTTCACAGGCAATACATTTGATGTTTCCCTGTGCTTGGAAAAGAAAACTTGCTGATTAAGTTGAAATATAAGTATTCCTTCAACAACTATAACCTACTTCTGGCACAGAAAAGAGATAAGACAAAATTTTTTTGGTATTCATGAAAGTCTACAAAATTGATTAGTAAACTTGAATTTCTGCTAAGCAATTTAGCTTCTCTCTAACTATAATCTTGCCTCTTGTTTTTTACTATTTATGATAAGTTAACAAAAGGTTTTTCTCTCTGGCTGAATTTTCGCAAGCCTTAAGCCTTGAGGCCAAGTAAAGTTGCAAGACATTTAAGTGTGAGTCTGAGTTGCATCTTGAGTCAGTTAAGCATGGGTCCAAGTGACGAACTGGTTAAGAGTGAGTCCAAGTCATGAGTCAGTTAAGTGCAAGTCTAAGTCACGAGTCAGCTAAGCGCAAGTCCAAGTCATGAGTCAGTTAAGCATGAGTCCAAGTCACGAACTGGTTAAGCATGAGTCCAAGTCATGAGTCAGTTAAGCATGTGTCAAAGTCAAGTCACTAGTCAGTTAACCATGAGTCCAAGTCATGAGTCAGTTAAGCATAAGTCAAAGTCACGAATCAGTTAAGCTTGAGTTCAAGTCATGAGTGAGTTAAGCATGTATCATAGTCACAAATCAGTTAAGTGAGTGTGAGCCCAAGTCACAAGTCAGTTGAGCGTGAGTCCAAGTCACAAGTCAGTTAAGCACAAGTCCAAGTCACAAGTCAGGTAAGCGTGAGTTGAAGTTATGAGTCAGTTAAGCACAAGTCAAAGTCAGGAGTCAGTTAAGCACGAGTCCAAGTTTAGTTGCGAGTCAGTTAGTGTGACCCCGAGTTGGTTTGCGAGAAAGCTGGACGCAAATCCGAGTCGCAAGTCAGTTAAAAGCAAGTCTGAGTTGTGAGTCAGTTAAGCGTACATGTTACAAATCAGTGAAGTGTGAATCCGAGCTGAGCTGTGAGTGAGTTAAGCACGATTCCGAGACATGAGCCTGTTACTTATGGCACAGCATTCTAACTGGAGATTCTCCACTGAAATGAAGGGGTAGTCCAGGACTGGCCTTAATACCCTGTCCGGGGAACCGACGGTAAGTGTGTTAAATGTCCTTTTTCTTACTCTGAGGGATCACAATATATTTTCCTTGGTGAGGTATTATAAAATGAAGGTAACATTAGCCTTCTAAGCTTAAGCATGATGTTGTTGAAACATTATTACAACTTGATAGAAGATTACAGGAAAACAAGAACATATGGCATAATGAACTAACAAATTAAGACATTTTGATTTCAGACTGATTTTTGAGTCATGACGTTAAGATAATGTGTCCTGAGGCAAAAGGAGCCAGTCCTGAGGCAAAAGGAGTCAGTCCTGAGGCAAAACCAGTCAGTCCTGAGGCAAAACTAGTGAGGACGTATTTAGCACCTTTCAGCTCACGTATCAAACATGCCTGCAAAAGAATGCAGACTGACATGGAAATACACTAAACCAAGCAGTCAAGTATCAAACCTTCTCTTGCACATAGTCCAAGATGTTTTTGAAGTCCAGGTCGTCGTAGTAGTGCTTGATGCCTTCGCGTATGTTCTTCTGAAACAATTCAGACGTCTACAGAAAGAGAGTGAAAGAAGAAAGTGAGCAAAAAGAAGGAGAACATTACAGAAGGTTATATATGGACCATTCTACCAAATTAGTTCAAACTACAGTTCCACAGTATAAAAACTATTCAAAAACAATAAAGTACTCAGATATTAGATATTTACAAGTATTATTTATGATCTTTTTGAACCCAAGGCATTAATAGAGACAGTAATGAGCTAAATATATACAAAATCATTATTTATAATGTATTTTCTATTGGTGTCTGCCCAAACTCTAACCCCTAAATTTCATCTTACATTTTTTCTATTTTTTGTGTTTCTTTAAAGCACTTTGAGTGATGATTATTCAAAAAATGTCAGTTAAAAATCTGAAAGGAATTTTAAACTCTGACTTCGAACTTGTTTGGTAGAATAATCCATACACATAAATAAGTATGATATGAGTCTGAAGCACGTGATTGCAAAGCTACATACGGTCTTCTCAAAAAGGAGAGCGATGATTAGTGCGAGGGCCTGGAGCGCCAGCAGAACACACAGCACACAGAGAAACTGTAAAGACAAGTTTCAGTTAGTGCATGTCAGCTACTAAAAACAATACTTTTCCTTATGAACACACACAGGACTAGGAATGGGAGTTTTGATAACTGAATTTATTAAACAAACAGTACTCAAACACTCCAATTAGAAGACATTTTAAATTGTTATGGATAAAAACGCTAATCAACAGTAACCCAAAGGGCCCAACAAAACATCAGGTTTCCAAGGGTGTCTCAGCTGACAACATTTGGATAAAGGGAAAATAATACACATTTAATTTTTGGCTAAACCATCATCTTAATAACGAGGAAAGATGGGGAGTAACTAGTACTTTCCAGAGGGTCTTCCACAACTGTGGCATTCACCGTTGGAAGCATATAATGTCTAAAACGTCATTCTATGCTGTAGCATTAACATTAACCTCAACTGGAACTAAGAAACCTGAAAAACAGCCCCAGATGATTATCTCTCCTCAGCCACACTTTACTGCTGGCTCTACGCAGTCTGGTACTCTAACCCCTAAATCGTGCTCTCCTGATATCCGTCAAACCTAAATTCATTGTTCACTTGCCGGACAGTGAAGCAACATTCGTCACTCCAGAGAACGTTTCCACTGCACCAGAGTTTAACGGCGCTGTGCTTTACACTCCTCCAGCCGACACTTGGCATTGCACATAGCTATCTTAGGCTTGTGGGCAGGATAGACCGTTTTATGCACTTTATGCTCCAACACTCGGCAGCCCCCTCTGTGAGCTACCGCCTCTTGGCTGAGCTGTTGTTGCGCCTAGATGTTTCCATTTCACAATAATAGACCTAGTTGACAGTGCACATCTGGCAGAGCAGAAATTTCACAAACTGACTTGTGGCAAAGGTGGCATCCCATGACAGTCCCACGTTTAAAGTCACTGAGCTCTTCAGTATGATCCATTCTACTGCCAGTGTCTGTCTATGGAGATTGCATGGCTATGTACTTGATTTTATACACTTGTAGGCAATGAGTGAGGCTGAAACAGCTGAACTGACCAGTGGGACCACCCGAAAATTCCCACTTCTGACTCCTGAGGTTTAGGATGTTATTTTAGACCTAAATAATCCAAAAGGAGTAGAGCCCAGCAAACTTCAGTTTCATTGCTAATAGATGCTGAATGTTCTAAGAAGTTCCACTGGAAATGTACTTTAACCAAAGTAACAATACTTTTACTGGAGTACCAGTTTAAACTACCCACTACCCACATCAAGCTAAAGTGATATTAGCACGTTTAGCATGTGATCTTCAGTATGCAAATACATTTTGCGTTATGGAAACGTTGTAAATGAGGTTTCATGATGACGCTGTTCGCTCACCATGTGCAGAAGAGTCTTGTTGTCTCTGAGGGAGCCCACCATGCCCACCACAGACACGGTAAACATGACCAGGCCCAGCAGGATGAGCACTACAGCCGGGGCCAGAAACACACCCTCTAACGTGCGGTTCTTCTGCCGCTCCACCTCTGCATACAGGCCTATACACAGCACACAAAGGCCCAGAAACTGTGGGGAAAATAACAGGGACAGAAAGAAGAGAGAGACAAATGTAATTTCACATAATGTATGATTTCACATCAAATCTAAACAGCCTGACCGGTTGGTCTACAGTGGTAATCCTGACTTTGTTTGACGCCCAGTGATGTCACAGCCATCCATGGCCGGGAGTCTAAGGGTGCTTTCACACCTACTTCGTTTGGTCCGCACCTTCAGATTGTCAGTTTAGTCCGAAAAAAGGTGCTACTTTAACAAATGGAAATCACTTTAGAGTGGGAATCAATTGGAGAACAGAACTCAAAACTAGACTCTGGTACAAGACTAAACACCTGGCAAGCTTTTTCTAGGTTTAATGAAGGTAATAAATCTGCTAGATTTATTACCTTCAAAACTAGCTAGCTATTGCGGACAAACTACACTACATCTGTAGTGGTTTTAATCCAGCCTGCGGTAGATAACAAGATAGCAGTGTCTTACATTATCACAGGTAACCAGCCTAGTTTACCTCACTTTTAAACATCCTTGTCCGTCCTGTGGAGCGCCTGGCTTGGTCTGCCACAGTAAAGGAACATGAAAGATGCTGGACTACATTTCCCACAAGTCTGTGTGCAGGAACTTAAAAACAAGACGGAAAATAGGGTTTTAAACCCAAGATTCTCTCAGTTTAAGCCATATAGTTGTTTAAACATATTGCTATACAAATCCAACAGCTCTCTCCAATCACTAAGGACCGGTCAGTTAGTAGTGCCCAAGCACAGCCATTGTTAAGTCCAGTTTAAAGACGTTCTTGTTTTCTTATGCATTTGTTTAGCACTGCGCTTTATCTTAGCACTACATTTTTACCTCTTTTAATCTCTAATTTTGGTTTCTATTTTATTGTAACTATTTTTGCAGATGCCTTTCTGAGGTGCTTGATCTCAGGATGTCATAATCTTTATTATTTAATGCTTTTATTTCTCTATTTGTGTGAAGCATTTTAAATTGCCGCTGTCTATGACAGGTTCTATATAACTAAACTTGCCTTGCCTCGCCTAAAACGAACAAATGCACGTCCACATTAATCGCAAATGAGGTCGAGGCAGAAAGCTTACTGTCTATTAGCACCGGAGCAAAGTAAGGGATCGGCGCAAATCCAGCTCATTTAAACCAATTATTCCTTAATTTACCTCTCAGCCCTTCCAGACAGGTTAATGCAAGCTGATTGGCTGTTGCTAATTAACTTTGTCGCCCATCAATTTCACCTCACTTGATGATCTTAATTTAGTTTTCTATTCAGATTCTTTTCATTCCGGCCCACATTAGTGAGTAAGTGAGTGCTTCGGTCTGAGAGCCGGAGCTAAACTGCAGAGTGAATAACTAAAGCTAAGTTGAGGGGTTAAGAGGGGACGGGGAGATTTAAACAAATGAGACAACAAAAACAGCAGGCAGAGGAGGCTTTTCTGCTGCCATCATCAGCTTTAGAAAAGTTCAGCCCGCTGGCCAGATATGTTACCGCGAGCTCCGTGACACAAGCACGCCACACTGTGAGGCAAACACTAAAATCCCCTTTTGTGGACAGCAATAATAGCTGTCGTCAGCCAAATATGTTGCAGAAGAACCACAAATCCACACGAGAAGACGTAAACAACAACAAGTGGCATGAAACAAAACAACACGCAACACAGACAACAAGCAAAGCTCATATTTTTAATTTGCTAGCATTAAAATCTTGTGAATCTGTGGACAGTTGAATAGCAAATACGTCTAATTCCCAGGATTGAAACTGAACAGTAATTTTACTTTTATTTCAATACATACACTATACTGGAACAGCCTACAGAGACAGCTCTTTCAGTTTTCATTAAGACTGATACAGCACTATTTAAAGGGATGTTCTGACCTAAAACTAGCATTATGTATGTCATTTGCAATGTCCTGAAGTATTCGGGAGTGGAGCATTGCATCCCTCAATGCAAAGCCTCAGGGGTTTGACAGAATTGACAATTTTATATCGCTTTCATCCATCACTGGTTTTTCACTACAATACCCAGCATGCATTACGCAAAAACACCATACGATCACTGGCCATAAAGCACATTATTTAACTGAAGAGCCAATTATTTGAAGAATTTTAAGAAACTTCACAGATTATTTGTTTTCATATTTCTGTAAGGATTTCCAAACCAAACCAGCCACTCCAATATTTATATATGTTGCTGTTGTTGGAACAGAACCTCGTATCTACATTTTTGTTGTTTTTCATTTTTTTAGAACAATTTGAAAATGCCTGTTACTTTTTACGTTGTTTGTAAATTTCATGATGAAGGGACCAAAAGAAACAGCCCAAAATGACTTGGAAAAAAGTCTGGTTCCTTTGATTTACATTAAAAGTAAAGTGTGTTTTTTGGTTCTCCTGTAAAGTTCTCATTTTGAAGATACAAGGTTTTGTTCTGACAGCAGCGACATCCCTGGATTCTTAAAATTGCAGGAGGTAATTAAGACTATGCAGCTCTGTAAAAGGCCAGTCTGGTGAGACTTTTCAAACAACAAAATCCTTGATTAATCCTTGAATTCTTGCAAATGTATGTTTAATAAAAAATAACATGTAACTAAACAGAGGGAGAGAAAAACGCTGAAGGTGATAAAAATTAGTGATCAAGAAGAAAACAAATGAGTGTTTAGGCTTTCAGGTAAAATTAATACTAAATTTGTACACATTATTCTCTTATTATATCCTCATTAGTGAGACTAAGTAGAAAATAATTGGGGTAATACTGTGTTTGTGCTGTCAAACGTCACCATGAAATTCTGTCACCTACACTATTAAACACTGAAACACAGCTACAGAACAAAATCACACCCGATCTGGTTACACTAACTAAGACTGTATCTATAATGTGTATTTGAATAACAAATTTAAGAGCTGCAAATTTAAGAGTAGAGAGCAGTGCTTGACTTCAGTAGCTTTGTTTTGAGGTGGACAGATATAGTACTTAAGTTATACTAGATCTGTGCTTAATACACTAGAAAGAAAAGAATTTTCTGTGTGCCAACTTGATATTTTGGGGAGCACGCCCCCAAGCCCCCTTAGAAAAGACCCCCCATCCGACCACTCTGACCAGCCTAAAAGGTCTGGATATTGACTATGTTCCTAGTGACTGTGGCTGATTTTTATGCTGATCAGTTAATTTGGTGCCGGTTCTTTAGTAAAGAAAATGATTCTATATAGAACCTTTCTGAAAAGGGTTCTATATAGCGCCAAAAATGTTTATCTATTGTTATGGTGTCAAGCTTGTAACAATAGCACTTTTGGGTGCTAAACAGAACCATTTTCAAAAAGGTTCTTCAAAGAGACTACGTCTTCCATCAATCTGAAGAACGCTTTAATGATGCAAAGAACCCTTTAATCATGCAAAGGGTTCTTTGAGTGTTCATGGTTCGTTACAGAACAATTTTCTTTACTTAAGAACCCTTAAAGCACCATCTTTTTTGAGAATGTAACAAGCTTGACACTGTAACAACAGAAGAACCCTTTTTGGTGTTATATAGAACCACATAACTATTTTCTTTACTAAAGAACCCTTGAAGAACCATTTTTTTTTATGAGCGCATATCTCTTATATGAAAAGCCATACGAACATATCGAGTCACAACATAGGTTGTAACGCGTCTCCATCTTCTTGGTCACGAAGATCGATGATAACATACTTTGTAAAATCTGATTCAGTTAAACAAGATAAGACTGAGATCTGAATCAGAAAAACATTTGTTTTTCGCAATGGGCCACAGAGCTCAGAGCTCGGATACAAGTTACTATTTTATATCTAAATCAATTGAACCGCGAGGTGCCAAAGCCTCTTAGCCCTATTTATTAAGCTAAAAACAGACATTTTTCATCAAGATTAGAACAACTACAGCAGTATCTGAATAACCAAAATAACCATATTAATAAAAATCTATTCCTGCTCTCAAACCAAAACTGAAACTCTACCACAGCATGAGGAAAGAGCTACAGTCTTAAAAACAAAGGTGCCAAATACACACCTTAAAATGATGGTTCTTCAACGGTTCTTCTGCTGTAAAAAGGCTGAAGAACCCTTTTAGGTGCTATATAGAACCTTTTCAAAAATGTTCTATATAGAACCATCCACAGCACATTCTCCATCAATCTGAAGAACACTTTCACTATGCAAAGAATCATGAAAAGGGTTCTTTGAACGTCCATAGCTCCATATAGAACCATTTCTTTCCTAAAGAACCCTTGAAGAATCATTATTTTTGAGTGCATGGAAACCAAAAAACGGTTCTTTGGAGAATCATTCCTGGACAAGTGTAAAGAACCTTTTTTTTTAAGTTAAGGAACCAGTACATAATATAATGGTTCTATACCAATTAAAGTTTTTTTTTTTTCTAGAATAAAGGTCCCAGTGATCATAATGATTACTGTAATATTATTCTTGCAATTTATTAACTTCTAAGTTCCCCAGTTTTCATGTCTACTTTAATATTATTTTATTTTCATATTATTTTAATAATCATTTTCTTCTAGATAAACATATTTAAATTACTGTTTATCAGTTTACTCACTACTTTCTTTTTTTTTTACTTTTTAACTCCTTTTAAATGCACGAAGGCTGCTATTATAATAATGTGTATTGATTTTACTATTAATATTCATATTAATAGTACTGAAAGGTAAAAATATGCTAATTCAAGCGCCTCGTCTAACATCCGGGTAACACCGCCCGGCCTCGATTTGAGTCTCTGCGAGCAGCGCCAACAACAAAAGTGCTTTGTCCCTTTAAACAGCCCCGCGCCCAGTTTTCATCAATAAACCCCCGATATGAGCCCAGAAAACCCATGAAGGTCCATTAAGCAGAGACCACGCGAAGTGTCGAGTTAAAAATCCCTCTCAGCGTGTCTGAAATCATATTTTCGGCGTTTGAGTGAACTGACTGACTCAGAATGACTGAAGGGCGGTAACAGAAAACACAGCACATCCAGCGGTTCAGCCAGGTTTACTCACCGAAAACAGCATCGAGTAGACGTTCAGGGTGAACTTAATGAAGTAGTAGAAGTGTAGGGTCTTCTTCCAGTCTTCGTACGAAGGCATGATGTGTCTCACTCCAGTTTCCCATCTATTAAGACCATTCAAACAGCAGCACCGTCCCAGCCGGCAGCTAAGCTAACGTTAGCCGCAGCCTGCTTTTCCCTCAGAGATGAGAAACACAGCAGAATATCACTTCACAGCCACACAGGACACACCGCTAAAGAGCTCATCCGCATTTCTGTCGGTCTGCCTTGTAGGAGGGCATCGGCTTCTTCACGGCTAAAGCGAAACTTAATCTGTCCACAATAACAACTTCATGCGGCTGGCTGTGGAAAACTCTTAAAGGGCGAGTAGCACCCTTTTCACTTAAAGGGGAACTCCATCGATATTTCAAAATTCCTGCAATATTCAGTGGTTGAGATGTAAACAGCCGCTCAGCTGGTTTGAGGTGAAATGGTTCACATGTAGAGAAACTTGCCAACTCTGATTTCTTTATAGTGGTGGTGATGGGAACCAGGGGTCACCATGATTACAACATCCAAAACCAGCAGTGAACCTAAGTGTCTTCTGAGGTTTGTAATGTTGATGTTGATAAAATATTTATAAATCTAAAAAAATAAGTATTCTTTGGGGACTATTTTGCCATAGCATGAATGGATTAAAATGAATGGATTCAAATACATTTTAAGCCAAAACTACCTAAACCTGGATTAATCACAGTTTGAGTATCTAAACATATATTAATCACAGTAAGTATCTAAACATGGATTAATCACAGTAAGTATCTAAACATGGATTAATCACAGTAAGTATCTAAACATGGATTAATCACAGTTTGAGTATCTAAACCGGGATTAATCACAGTCTGAGCATCTAAACATGGATTAATTACAGTTTGAGTATCTAAACCTGGATTCTAACCCAGGATTAATCACAGTCTGAGTATCTAAACCTGGGTTAATCATAGCCTGAGCATCTAAACCTGGATTAATTATAGCCTGGTTGTCTAAACCTGGGTTCTAAACCTGGATTAATCACAGCCTGAGTATCTAAACCTGGATTAATCACAGTAAGTATCTAAACATGGATTAATCACAGTTTGAGTATCTAAACCTGGATTCTAATCCAGGATTAATCACAGTCTGAGTATCTAAACCTGGATTAATCACAGCCTGAGTACCCATACCTGGATTTATTACAGACTGCGTGTCTAAACCTGGGTTAATCATAGCCTGAGCATCTAAACCTGGATTAATTATAGCCTGATTATTTAAACCTGGGTTCTAAATCTGGATTAATCACAGTCTGAGTATCTAAACCTGGATTAATCACAGCCTGAGTATCTAAACCTGGATTAATTACAGCCTGGTTATCTAAACCTGGGTTCTAAACCAGGATTAATCACAGTCTGAGTATCTAAACCTGGATTAATCACCGCCTGAGTATCTGTACCTGGATTTATTACAGCCTGAGTATCTAAACCTGGATTAATCACAGCCTGAGTATCTAAACCTGGATTAATCACAGTTTCATATCTAAACCTGGATTCCAAACCAGGATTAATCACTATTTGAGTATCTAAACCTGGATTCTAAACCAGGATTAATCACAGCCTGAATATCTAAACCTGGATTAACAGTGAAAGTTGTTAATCACTGTTATAAAACGAGTATTTGTTGCTGACACTTACTCAGGAATACTGAGTTGAGGAGTGAGACAGGCCTCAGGTTAGGCATGCAACACAAATTGCCATTGCCATCCCGGTAAATAGTGAACCAGGATTTCAGAAAATCCAGGTTTAGGTCAAACTAAATTCAAAGTTAGCTGGCTAAGCAAGAAATCCTGCTTTGCGAGACAGGTCCCTCACAAACAACAGAGGATAACTAAAGCTTGCAATAAGATAAAAGATAAAAGATACATACATACTCTAAACCGCTTATACTTCTGGGTCGCGGTGGGGTGCTGGAGCCTATCCCAGCTGTCATTGGGTGGAAGGCAGGATACACCCTGGACAGGTCGCCAGTCCATCGCAGGGCAGACAGACAGACAGACATACACATTCACTCACACCTAGGGGCAATTTAGCATGTCCAATTGGCCTGACTGCATGTTTTTGGACTGTGGGAGGAAACCCACGCAGACACGGGGAGAACATGCAAACTCCACACAGAAAGGACCCGGTCGCCCAGCCGGGAATCGAACCCAGGCCATTTTTGCTGTGAGGTGACAGCGCTACCCAGTGTGCCACCGTGCCACCGTAAGATAAAAGATAAATAACAATTTTATGTTACATTTTTAAGTGAATCTGCTAAAATAGGCATCCATAATTAATCTGTAACACTGATCCATAATTTAAAATCCATCATAAATACCCCCAGGGTGTGATGTGACTTTTTTTCATACGGGACCATTTTGAACCCAGCCCTGACGTTTGCCTATGGGGAGCCTACAGGAGGCCATTTGTATGCTGTTTCTTACTTTGTAAGCAAGCATTTCTCAAGAAGACATCAAAAAAACTGGACTGGAACCAAAACATCAGACTATTCTTTGAACTGGCTAAATGCGCTCCAGCTAGACAAAGGACAGAACGCTTTTGCTGACTGCGACTGTCAAATATCATAAGAAAGTAGGTCAGATTCACGTCTTCATCCTTCAGCAGCGCCACAGAAAGAGGATTGCATGTGTTGCCTATAGGCAACAAGTCCATGCTATTTTAAAGCAATTGCACTTTGTTGCATCAGTGGTTAAAGAAGGATTATAGGTGTTTGGATGTTTTGTACTATTAAAGCCTTGGAAAAAAGCCAATCACTGACCGGGTCAAACAGTAATGAGAGCTTTGGAGGACTGAAGAGCAGCCTTAAAGTGACAAATCTACATAATGTCCCCCACTTTACTCCAAATACGGTCGATTAGCCAAGACATGTTTGTTGCCTAAAGTTTACCTCTTTAGTTTTGCCATAAAATGTAGCTACTATGGTAATGTATCTAACAAGTAATGGAAACTTATGCAAACAACATGCATACTAGTACTATAAAAACTGATGCTATTATAGCAATGCTAGCAACTTTGTACTTGTGTTCATTTTATACAGTGAGGGAAGTGTTCAGACACTTTATGACATGTACTTCCAGTGTATATATCCATGTCAAAATAAAACACATAATGTATTTTGACATACCATCCCAGGTGGTTGCTAAGGTACTTATAAATATAAACAGAAAGTATGTATTCAAAATCATAAACAAGAATATGGTTTAAAAAAAAGAAATTAATATTGAAGTAAACATTCAGACCTATATTATTATACAAATATATGTAAAAGTTAAAAATAAAAATAAATCAAGATCTACACAACATTGCTGCCAAAATATATAAATAAATAAAAAATGTTATCATGCAATTTGCATGTGGTGTGATTAGAAAAGACGTTGTGATTGGCTGGGAAAATTTCACACAAGTAGGAATCATGGTGAAGGCGAAGAAGCTTCCCAAATTCTGATGGGCAACATTATTAAATAACACTTGAATGGAAAACGACACAGAGCCAGAGCAAAGACCTTAAACATCCCTGTGAGTACAACTGGTTCAATACTATGCAATTGGAAAGTTCATGAAAGTTCATGGACAGATGCACCATGCATGAATGGAGTGATGTACCAGAAGATTTTAGGGGAGAGCTGAATCTCATTGACCAAGAAACTGAATCTTTTCAAGAAGACAATGACCCTAAACATACAACAAAATAACTCGAGGTTTCTAAAAAAGTTAAAGGTGCTTGCTGGGCCTAGCCAATATCCTGACTTGAGTCTTATCGTACATGTGTGGAGGATTTTGAAATTGTGAGCCCATCAGTAGGACCCTCATTATCTTGGGGAATTGAAGACGGTTTGAGACTCATTTCTGCAAAACAGGCTTTCATTACTTCGCTACATTACCCTCCTTGCTTCAGTGTAAACATAAAGGAGTACATGTCAGCCACCAAACCTTTGAGGTAAGTTGCTGAATATTCTTTCAAAGAAATATATCTGTGTATTCTGCGATGTAATTAATGTTCTCTTCATTGTGATTGAACTTCTCTCGACCCTGGAGAGTCTCTAGACGTAGTTTAAATTGTCTTGGTGCTTTTGGGGACAGTGCGTCCAGTGTTCAGCCAGCACTGTATCAAAGGGCACAAGTCAGATTGATGATCATGACTTCAATCTCCTCCTGTTATAGCAATAATTTTCAATTATTCCTCATTACGTGGGCTGGCTGCAGCTGGGACCAACGCAACCAAACAGGTGTCTGACATTTTGGCTGGATGCTTTTGCATTAACATGTAAATTGAGTTTCGTAAGCGCACACCTTCTCCATCTTCCGTAAAAGCTTTTTCGAGGCACTGACCAGATGTGGCTCATAGACCTGTCCGGAACTGAAATAGAAACAATGGAGTGACTCTGGTTACAGTACCCTACTGCAAATTCAGCTTTTCTACAATACAGCTTTTTTAAATCATATCCAATGGATAAAAAACTCATCAGAACGGATGAGGTGGGGGGTTTTTCGTGACCTCTTTCATATGCAGACTCTTTGCCTGTGTATATACACACCTGAGTCACCACCTCCAACCAGTTCAGTCCATCATAAGACAGATATGATGAGATGGAACTCTGGGAACGTATTAAAACCACCAACTTTTTGATCAGCTTGCTTCACATGATAATCCATTCTGAAGTTCGCAGTCTACCCAGTTTTCACGGTTTCTCCGCATAACTGAAAACATTTCTGAACATTTGGGTTCTCTAAGCAACATCAAACTTAGGGACACCCCACCTCAATCATATTATTTCATATGCAAGAATGAAAAAAGACTAAGTAACTTAGTCAAGGTAATTAATCACGTTTAGAGAAGCAATATAAAAGTTTGACCATTGCTAACATTGGCAGAAAAACATCAAAAATGTAACTTATGACAATAAAGACGTTTAACTTGTTACAGTAAAAGTGCCCAAAAAACAAACCACAGTATTCCACAGTTCAACCAAGCAAAGAGATGTTTATCGACCATAGAACACATTTGACCATTAAGCTATTATCCCAGATAAAAACACCATCAAAATTAGCATATGTTGTGTTTTGGATGTTGGTATTCTGGTCAACCAGCATGACCATGCTGAGTGACTAGCTAAACCAGCACCAGGCCATAAACCAGCTTATTCCATGCTGTTCTTCATGCTGGTCTATGCTGTTTTTTTTTAGCAGGGCTTTCATAGATGGGTATAAATTAAAATTAGCTTAACCTTGGCACTTCTTATCTTACATTATGATGAAAAGGTGCAGTTGAGAGACTT